ATGGTCTTCGCCCGTTACGGTATGCCTTGTCTATCATTGACACGCTACCAGCTTGTGTACTCACCAAAAGCCCCAAATCCCGTTACATAGGTGACAATTGGAGAACCTTGCGAAGAACAGCACACGCTATTCTAACCCCGCAAATGTCTGCTAAACATATACCGATCCAGTATGCCGAAGCCACTCAGCTCCTCTTTGATATTCTTCGTAACCCCGATGTACGTCCGAACTTTCCAAATTTGTCAGTGATATCTCAGTCAGTCTATCCCCAGTCGTTCTATAATCACATCAGACGCTATTCCAACTCTGTTATTATGTCTGTGCTTTACGGGAAAAGGTGCCCGCAGTATGAGACTCCAGAGACCACGGCTTTTTTTATAGCGCAGCATGAGTGGGAACTTCTTCTAGAGCCAGGTGCTACGCCTCCATTAGACTTGCTCCCATTCCTCCAAAAGGTACCCGAGCGATGGGCCAATTGGAAGAGAGACGTGCGTCAGTGTCGAAAGCACCAGAGAGATTTATATTTTGGTCTCTTGGACGAAACAAAAGAGCGGATGGACAAGGGCGAGGAGAATGGGAGCTACATGGAGGAGGTAATTAGGCGCCAAGAGGAGTTCGAGATGGACAGAGAAATGATGGGGTATGTGTCTTATATTCCCGTCAGCGGCGTGTTCCTGTTAATCTCATCCGCGGCTTTCTGGATTTTCAGATACCTCGGTGGTGTTTTGATCGAAGGTGGCTCCGACACCACGTCCTCGTTCCTGCAATCGGTCGTCCTCGCTATGATTGTGTTCCCAGAAGCACAGAAAAAGGCTCACGCGGAGCTTGATCGTGTCATTGGACTCCATAGACTTCCAACTTTGGACGATCTCCCCGAACTTCCATATATCCGAGCCATAATTCAGGAAGTGAGAAGCTGCTTCATGTTTCCGACGAACAGTCTGTTTGACGGCATGTAGACCCAACGATTCCGACCCGTTGCACCTTTGGCGATACCTCATGCTACAACCGCGCCGGAAGAGGTGAGTAATACCGTCATTTGTTTTGAGCAATGGTTGATTGATTTATCTACCAGTACAAGGGGTACTTGATACCCGAGGGTTCTACCATCTTCGTCAACATTTGTAAGTCGTCCTTTCACTCGTTGAAGATACTTTCATCATTGATATTCAAAATACCTAAGGGGGGATTTTCCATGACCCTGGTGAGCTAGAGTGCGGTCGTCCGTGAAGGTTACAATCATTTAATCCTGCGTCGGACAGAGTTGTACGATGATCCTGATACTTTCAACCCTGACCGATATCTCTTGACGGAGAACGGGACTAAACCTGGCGTCGATGGAAGTGACCTTCGATCGAACCTTGGCTTTGGTTGTGGACGGGTGAGGTGCTTTTCATTCCTCATTCACTCCACTGAACGTACCACAATTTAGCGTATTTGTCCGGGTATTCACCTGGCACAGAACTCCATCGTACGAATGTTTGTGTAGATACAAACTTAGACCGTTATACTCACACTCGAAAACATTCCAGAACCTGAACACCATGCGACTAATTTGGGCTTTCGACTTCGCTCGTGCGACGGATCCCAAGACAGGCGAGCTCATTGATGTCAATGTCAATGATTATCTGAAGGTACGTACCGTTTCATCTATCATTATCGGAGCTCGCTTAACGCAGCATAATCCAGGGTATCTTGACTGCCCCATGTCCCTTCAGGGCATCCATCACGCCTCGCTCTACGGAGGTGGTGGAAATCGTCGAGAGAGAGTTTCATGAAGCAACGGACACGTTCTCAAAATTCGAATTTGGGCTGAGCGCGGAGGATAAGTCGTATCTAGCAAGGTACCGTTCTGACTAACGTACCCGGCCCACCGAGTGCATAAATACTTCCGCCATTGTACTAAACAAAATTGGTATGAGATATGTCTGACACTTGTTATGAATCACGGTGTATCAAGAGAATACCATTAGACTCGATTACTTGTATCCTTTGCTCCAGGGCCATCATAAGTCTAGTGCTGAGATGGTAAGTCTCCCCCACCGCGATCCAAACTGCTTATGTTCAAAAGACCGGGCCCCCTGCGATTCCTGTCAGTTAACGGCAATTCTTGACACTTACGTCCTTGCTCGGTCGTGCTGGCTCATGAAGGACGTGTTTATACTCGTATGAGATACATTGACGAAACGACGGTGGTCGGTGGTAAATGGTCGAAATTTGGCACAGCTGAGGGCTCTGGAGTAACCAGATACCGGATAACACTTCCCGCCGGCCCGCCGCGGCTCTTCAATCGGCGAAGCCTGTTATGGGTTGACCATTCTCAAACCATCATCATCACCAGAGCTTCTGAGTACAGCTACCTTCCCCAAACCTTCCCTTCTTTCTATATTTTTAATCTACAAATTTCTGCTTCCGCTCGCCGCGAATAACGATCGAAAAATCGTAAACCGAGTGTTCAAAGGTTCCGCTCAAGACTTTGACGATGTTACTGTGCCGTCGACCCTGCAACTGTTGTCTTGGGCGACGAGTCCGAATCGGGATGTGCAGATGTGCCATCCATCTATAGCGAGCTCAGCCAGAGAGTCCTAGAGAGCCTGTTAGCATGGAATTGGTCAACTTTGTAAGTAATTACGAGTATTTTTATCATTCAAACTCACGCAGTCATGGGAACCTCCCAAGAGAAAATGGATTTCCCAACCCGTACCGAGTACTAAAAGCACCAGGGTCGCCGGCAAACTGGCTCAGGGACTCGGGGGGTTCGAATTTCAATTTCTCGACCGTGGTCCGTCTTCCGACTGATCAAGATTCCTATATCGTCAGGTTCCCAATGCCATCTGTCACTGTCAGTAACCACTAATTCAACCTTGACCAACAACCTCCATCATCCATGAGCTCTTCCGGATCGTCTTCACCCACCAGTATCAACACGATAACCCCCACTCTGTCGACACCTACGACTGCTGCGACGAGCGTAGGCACTAGCACGAAATCCGATGTTAAACGGATTCTAGTAGCAGGTGCGACAGGCAAACAGGGATTCGCAACCGTTCGTGCCCTTCTTCGTCTCAATGGGATCCAAGACACCCAACAAGACCGCTTCCAAATACTCGCGCTGACACGGAATGAACGTTCGAAAGCTGCACAAGAGCTTGCATCCTTCAATTCGTCTTCATTGGGAAAGAATGTAGGGGAGGATGACTTTGAGGTTGTCGAAGCGGATCTGAACTCCAAAGAGTCGGTTCGTGCGATTTTCGAGAGGTACAGGGACGATGGAGGAATATATGGTGTATTTTCGGTGCAGGCATTTCCTGGTCTAGGTGTCGACTCGAGTGGGGAGGAGGCACAAGGAAAGGTACGTGCTCCGTTCTCACAAAAGGGTCAAGGTGGTTGATTTGCCTTCCTTCTTTGCCGCACAGAATATTGCAGACGTTGCCTACGAGTTTCGAGTTCAACATTTCGTGTACTCTTCCTCCGAACGCGCTGAAGAGGTGTTTGATGATCAGGCTAAGGAAGGCTCGTCACATCTTGCGAAAGTGAGGATCGAAGAGCGGGTGAAGGAATTAGGAGAAATGGAAGGGGGCTTTGGATGGACGTGAGTACTATTTCTCGGATCTCGATTTCCTGTTCCGTTTACCCTGTGTTTTATACTCTCTTCGTCTTCACCATGACCTTGTCTGTATGGTGGTTGCGCTAACTTTGTCTCTCTTCTAGAATTCTTCGCCCAGTCCGGTTCTACGAAAACTTTAGCGGGCCTCTGGGCGGGGTCACTTTTGCGATATTCAGGGCTGGGATGAAGGAAACTACAAGACTGGACTTGGTGGTAAGCCCCTAGTCCCTTTTTCGTTAGTCAGCTGCTGGGACGTGCGCTACCATTGTGATCCCGCCTTTACTTGACTGCGCGATGGTATTTTCACCCTCCTTTTGGATAGCTCTCCTTGATGGCGCCTTCGATGCCTATTGCCGCCGCTGTTCTTGGCCTTTTTTCTTGTGTTGATTTTTCATTATCAACAGGCTGCCGACGACGTTGGTCGGATCGCTGCAGAGGTCTTCCGAGTAAGCTTTCCCTCCCTTCGCCGCCCCCAAACTATCTCTCTGACTTGCAAAATTTCCCCATAGAACCCCACCCCGTACAGCCATAAGATCCTAGTGCCTGTCGGTGACACCCTCACATGCCGTCAAATCGAGGAAGTCCATCTCAAGGCGAGAGGAAAGTCGATAACGAAAGTTCCGGGCATTGTGGCGAACGGGTTGTTGTGGATGAATAAGGGTACGAAGGATATGTGAGTCTCTTTCTTCCATATTACTTGCTCTGCACTTCGTTCTGTCCACCCTTCCGGTTGACGTTCTGCCTATTGCTTTCCTACCTACCTCCTCTTCCATGTTTGGCGTTGCTAATGCACCCATTCCTCCAGGCTCGCATCCATCGAACGACCTGCAGAAGCTCTCGCACAAGGTCTACTCCCAAACCTTCCTGACCAGATCGAAGACGCTCGAAAAGCATTTGTTGGTGGCGAGGACGACAAAGAAGGGCAGAAGCGGGGACTGACAACGTTTGAGGAGTGGGTGCACCTACACGAGTACGAGCAGGAAGGAACGCAGGCGAAAACGAAGAGTGAGGTGGAACAGGACACATCAAGCTCGAGTTGGAATAGGGTTTCATTGGTCAAGCTGATCAGTGGGCGGCACTAACCCTTTATGGGTCGTGGAATTGACTATAGGATCAGCCTAATTTCAGGACAGTTTGACTCTTCTCTAATTCTCATTGGCAGGACACTGCATTATGTATGCTCTTTCACGTTTACCGTTCGAACATTCATTGTACACTATAGTGTTTATCAAGTTTATCTATGATGGGAATGTATACTTGTGATTCTGAACAAAACACATCCCTCTGACGCCGGATTGATACTGCTGGGCTTCGATTCGAAGATGTCCTCGGGAACCAGGCAGAGGACGAAAAAGCGAGCTTGAAGTAAAAGTTCATCTATATCGGTTTCTATAGGTGCTACCAGGGTTCGAACCTGGGTTTCGGGAAATCTGTTAAATATCATTGATCAAAATCCCGAGTGATAACCACTACACTATAGCACCGTTGAAGCGTTAGAACTTCTGCGTTCATTGCGTCAGTGAGCTATATTAGTCATTCCAATGGGTCACAAATGTGACGCTACAGCTCTGATTCAGACACCGCCTTTCGAGCCAAGTGACGCTGTACCCCTCCTTTTTCCTGTACCACCACCATCTCAATCGGGTCAACAAGAAAAAATGACAACAGTATCACCATTTGCACGGGTCAGCGCGTTTGAAGAGCCTGGAATCATGGGTAGAGGACAGTCGGTAAGTCATTTTGACGGAACCTGTTTGATACCTTACATCTACAAGTTTCTTAGCTAAATCTTCCTCTCGTTTAACCGGAATGTTAGAATTGATCATCCTCATTGGTTTACAGATCGAAGAAATGTATAGCGTACCCGAGAGCTTCCTAGAAATTGAAGTTCGAAATCCGCAGACGCATGGTTCGTATTCTTGGTCCAACATCGCGCAGTCCGGAAAAGGCTGATTTTCCCCCTCGATTTCTCTCAAATTAGGCTTTGGAAGGAAGATGTACACTGATTATGAGATTGTCTGCAAGGTTTGTCACTTCTTCCGTTCTTGCTTCGGAGCTGAATTCATGGCTTCCTTCTCACTTCGTTCTGTCGTGTGCCGGTGTATTGACACCCTTTATTCCATTTCTTTAGACCAACATTCCTGCTTTCAAGCTTCGTCACTCTCTCGTTCGCCGCCGCTACTCCGACTTTGAAGCATTCCGGGACATACTCGAACGCGAATCGACTCGGGTCAACATCCCACCTTTACCGGGGAAGGTGTTCACGAACCGATTCTCGGATGAGGTTATAGAAAGCAGAAGGGAAGGGCTAGAGAGGTTCTTGAGCATCGTTGCAGGGCACCCCTTGCTACAGGTCCGTTTCTTCTCTATCTTCTCGTGGCTTTAGAGGCGAGTGCTGACTTGTGGACCTAGACGGGAAGCAAAGTGCTGTGTGCGTTCTTGCAGGACCCGGCTTGGGACAAGAACCAGTGGATCTAAAGAATTTCGCTTTTCATGCCCAACACCGACCCCACCTACCTACCTATCCGCGCGGAAATGTATCACACGCCCCGAGACGACCTAGCACTCTTATGTATGTTCGCCCTTACCCCCCGGAACCTTTCGCTTTCGAGTTTTACTCGCCTTTTTCGCCCTTTCTTATTTCACCTCTACCTGTACATATAACCTCGAACCAATCGCATCCTTGTTCCCTCTTCTCTTATCGCATCCTGTGCTACGGACTGCGGGAGTGAGTAAGTATCATTCGGCCAAAGAAGGTTCAGGCGACTAGCGGTACTGCTCCCGACAGCTGGTAACAGCATGGCGGATGGTTGTGCCACCCTGGAGGTTCTGGCGGGTGATGAGGCCGTTGCTTCTGTTTGCGTTGTCGGGAGGACCAGAACTAGGGTTGCTGTTCACATATGTGGGTCCTTCACTTGAGCGTGTTCGCCTTCGTGGACACTGGACACTCAGATCATCTCTATGCGTAGGTCACAAGGCACGTCGTTCACGTTTTGATTTCCTGAATCACGACCACTCAGCGATCTTATAGAACTTTCGAGCTTTACACACCGCGTCTCCGATTGGCCTGTCTACATCCTCAATGTCACCGGCTTTCCAAAACTGTGGAAGGCCTGCTCGATCCTTCTGACTACTAGCTGCACGGAATAATGGACACAGAAAGCGCAATATATAAGATCAGTACGAAATGGTTACAAGCGATAATTAAGATATGAAAAGCTCCTTAGTCCTCCGACCACGGGGGTGGCTAATCGTGACTCGACGTATCGCCTCCAGCTTCTGGGTCCTGGAAACCGCGTCGAGACGAGGGCCGAGATGAACCGCGGTTCCGCCCAAACAAACTCCCGGAAACCGAGTCAATCCAACTGTTGGTAACGCTCCGAGTTGACGATCTGGAAGGAGTCCTTCTGAGAGGAGGCGCAACGGTAGGAAGCGACGGATCATCCTGCTCGAGCCTTCGAGTCAGCTCCATTGATCGAGAATCTCGCAAGACGGCCTTTTCAGGATCCCTCAAAGCAAGATGTGACACCGACGAAGGCAAGAACGGAGCTCGTCGTTGCGATAGAGCTCGAGGTGGCTTCTCGGACTCTGACTGCACTAATTCGTCCGGCCGTGGTACCAGTTTTGAAGACAGCTTTCGGCTGAGAGAACGTGCCGGAGGAGAAGGCATCAACGTTTCTATGAGCGAGCGCGCGCTTCTAGAGCGCCTTGGCGGCTGGGAAGTCGACGATGGTGAAGGTGTGATAACTTGTTGGGGGACGTTCATCTGGGCCTGATCTGCGTACAGATCTTCGGGTTCTCTGGCAATAAACAGGACCGGGACAAGGTCGGGTGAGAGGTCTGAAGGCCCTTGGATGAGCGTCAAATCTTCGGGTGTCATGCTTTCAGTATAAACAACATCTGTCTCGTAGTCAATAGCTGAGGAAGGACACAAAGAAACGGAAACAAACCTCCTTCAGCCACAAACTTGAACCTCCGACAGATACGCCTGAGAAGCTCATCCCTATCAGGTAGCTGTTCATCAGACTTTATTTGTTCAGAATAAGCGGATCGTGAGTGGAAAAATCGGTGCGTACATCTTCCAGGACACTCATCCAGTCATCGTCATGCAAGAATGCGACTGTCCCCGAGTTCATCAAGGAGGGTCGCGCCTTCAAAGCGAGCTCGAGGCTGAGCATATTGATTAGTTGGCATGGGTGGACGATCTGAAGACAATACAGTCGGTAATGCTCATTTGGGACGGTGAAATCTTGATTGGGGTTTTGAGAGACATCAACTGCCCCTTCCCCTTGTTCTTTCTATCTAGGAATGTATGTATACATTAGGTCAAGATATATATCGACTCATAATGACCACCGAGGGGGGTAGTGGGCGAAGGATCTTCTTATCAACTCGAAAATTCGTTATCAGCGCGGAACCAGCATTTGGGACGTGACATCATCACGCTGATAATCTATGTTTTGAATGCGTAGCAACACCGGGTATTACCAAACCTTACCAAACCCGTCACATTCGGTGACTTCCATCACCGCCTTTCGCGAGTTTCGCGCCCTCGTCTCGTCCGGCTTCGACATTACTTCTCACTATTCCCAGCTATGCCCCCGTTAAGTATAGGAAAATCTTCTTATTATCATGCAAAATAAGCCTACCGATGCCGAGAGTCTCCCGATGACATCTCCTTTTATGATCACCGTATCAGTATTTTACTTGTGCCCAAAATCACCATCTTTTATTCTATATCTCAACGAATGGGGCACCCCACCTCTTTATGTTGGCTCAGTATATGCAGACATAAGTCAAGAACGATTCCAAAAAAAGTCCAACGAGAAAGAGTGGAGGATTGCACCCTCAAGCCAATTTGTCCAAATGATGATCGTATCCCAAATGGGCATTACCGACTGTACATTTACATTCGCTGTCATGCAAACGTCTAAGGAGTAGACCACGCACCGTGTTGAGCTTGGTTGCGGGAAGTCTCACGATATTGTCACCCGACGCGGCAGTCTGGTCGTCGGTAGAATGAAAGGATTCCGAGTCCGGCCCTTTCTCATTATCACGAGGGGCCTGGGAAGATCGAGTAGAGCTCGAGGAGTTGAATGCAGAGCCTTTCCTGAAAGGGTTGAAGGGACTCCGAGGGGTCTTCGAACGAGAATTATCAGAGTGGTCATCAGATCTTTTGTCGGACTCTGGACGGCCACTAATGTCGGAATGGCGTGAAGGAGAACGTCTGATGTTGCCATCGTTTTTATTTATCCAAAAACCGCGAACGAAAACGGTCTCCTTGTGTTCCTCTTCGATATGTAGCGGCATGGGCGACGACCACCAGCAAAACCATGTCAACCTGCCCAGCCGCTGGTAAGGGCCGCCAGCCAGGACGAAGTGTGGTTAGGCTGCTGGCATCTGTTCAAGAGTGTTGTTTTGCGCAAGGAGAGTTCATATAGTGGCAGACTTACCGTAGCTTGTAATTGCTGTAAGTATGATATCAACTAATAAAGAGCTTTCAGTATAATAGAGGCTGACCAGTGGCTGAGAAGACGTGCCAGACTGATCGAGATGATCAGACGCGGTCAGAATGACCGGTATGCTCAGAAGCCGTCAGGCTGCTGATGATGGTAACATACCGTCAGATTAACCAACATTATCAGGTGCAGTCAGAATGACGGCCATGATCAGAAGCCGTCAGAATGACCAACATGGTCAGCAATGAGAAGGCTGAGGGTTGCTAGACACGAACCAAGCGTGGTCTTGTTCTACCGCGCTAGTACAAATCTCAGCTCGACGTGATCAATAATGAGCAAATGAAATATATTGAGAGTTACTACAACAATATGCTACAAAACATGAGTGATTGCGTCACGCGATACAACTGGTCTGAACGAGAATGAAAGGGAAAATGGTGGCAACAAAGAGGCAAATGCAGGAGTTGAAAGTAAAGAGGGAGTATCATCCTTTTCGCATGCAGCGTGGGTGGTTGTGCTCTTCGCGGCGCCATCTTCTATCTTGTGTTGAGCTGCGACCCAATTCAAACATTAGCATAGGTGAATGCAGCAAGAAAGACGACATTGATGTACCTAGGACGAACTATAGCAAGAAGTCATCTCAACGATAGGCATTGATGATAATGCTGTCAGGATAAATTCCATCAGTCGGCGACCTGGCGTGAAAGACAAGACTACATACCATCCGATGAGTGCATACATGAAGCATGCAGCCCATAGATGATGACCACCAAGATGAATCACGGCTCAGTATTATGGCCCTAGCATGTACAGATCACGAAGTCGGTGGTGAGGTCGGGAAGAATGGAGGCGACTGTTGAGAACAGTATTGAGCAGTGGCAATAAAATAGAGATGTTATGATAACTCACCGAAGACCACCGCAGAATGGTATTCACGGTGATGATGGCATAGAAAAACAAACAGGAAGGCGAAGGGATAGGTAGAGTGGCCAGCAGAGAGGGAGGTGCATGGGTAGGTGGTGGTG